TCCCTTGCAAGAATTCCCTCGACCATGACAGTTGTCATTAAGATCATCATTGCTTCTTATCTCGCAGCTCGAGACCGATGACCAATGAGCTCCTTGCGGTTAAGAAGCATATTATAGGTGGTGTCCATATGTTGATGTTGATGTTGCAATACAATCGACATAGATTATGCAAGAATGTAACAACAAGCCAGCTCATTGGATTTTTTACACTTTCTAATGTAGGGATCAATGAAGATCTCGTTATGCACAAATCACGAATTCAATAGAAAAATGTAAACCTATGCCCAACTGATATAAAGGTTTGCGTAGAGAACTTACGGCTTAAAATTTATGGCGATCTGGCTAATCTTCTGGATGGCCGTACACAGCACACCAATGAATTTGTTGACTGCAAATCGCGTCCTAGGATTGCACGAACAAGATCGGATCGAAAACCGGATCAAACGAGTACAAAACGGATGAAGACAAGTTGCAGTCCTAGGACCTTGCGGCGGCGCGTGCGGGCGCGTGGGTGGTCTGACGGCTGCGATCTCAGTAGCGTTGGAAAGCACTCGTCGAGACGGTTGTCTGGGTATGTTGCACGTCTTGATTGGACCTCAGGTTAGTTCTATGCGACAATATATATTTCGTCTCACTTTACCCAAAGATCTTCTACTGTATATCTCAAACACCTCTTAATCTTGTACCAGTGGAACAACAAGAAGAAGATAAAGCTCGAATGGGAATTGAGGGAGAGAAGAGAGGCGTGGGGCGTGATTCACAAGATGTGGAATTCTCTCCTCTTACCATGAGCTTAATAATGTATATATAGAGCTACAATAGGGATCCTTAGGAGATTAGGATTGGGGCTCCTTAATTAATTAAAATACTTGTGGACCAAGCCACTTATTTTAATTAATTAAATAATATTAAATGAGCCACCAACATAATATTATTGCACTCCCTTTTCCTAGGCCAATTTACAATTGAGACTCCAATAATAATTACTCGATTTATCTCCCCATGGTTAAGATATAATGTCCATTAATTAATTCGATTACCGACAATCAAGAACTAATTAATTTATTATTATTTCACTGAAGCTAGCGCTCGTTCATCACATTATTACTATGCCGGAATTTAATCCACCTGCAGGGTTTAGCATAATAATCCTTCATGAACTCACTCCGGGACATCATCAAACTAATTTACATGGTGACCATATAAATCCTAACAGCACATCCTACATGTAGCAATATTACCCAAACAGTGGGTCTATTGGCCAGTTCACTAAGCCTCACCCATGTGAATTATAGTAATAAATACTACACATATATGTCTGTTTAATATCTTACGGGTTAAGAGTATGCAGCAATTAACCGAGGCCTAGTTCGTTTACCACGATCAGTATAAAACGAATTTCTCCTCTCTGGGATCCTGTTCAATACATAAATGTACTAGTGCAACTAATCAGTCAAGACAAATTGTACAGTTGACACTACAACCGTTCACGATGGGGTGTTCATGTCCATTTGGGTTGTGAACCATTTATTCTTGTTTCGCGAGTAACTGATAGCATGATCTTCGGTTCGCCTGATGACGACCCACACTATCTAATGCAAAACAACAGAACGTAGAACTTGTTTAATCTAACATGTTTCTCATTCATAAAGGGTAAAAGTGTAATATCATCCAAAGCCAAGCTTTCAGTATATAACACTAACAGTCTCCCACCTTATACTTAAATCTTTCGCTTTTATAAGTATAGTCCTATCAATCCGTTATTCTAAAAGACCTATGTCGATCCTATCACCATGCACTTGACTCTCATTCATGTCACGTGTTTGACGAAGACCTTCTCCGGCAAACTCTTCGTGAAAGGATCAACTAGGTTGTCCTCAGATGCAATCTTGGAAACATCAACGTCTCCTCTACCAATTATCTTTCGGATTAGATGGTACTTGTGCTCTAGTGTTTACTTGCTCTGTGGGCTCGTGGTTCCCTTGAGTTTGCTACTGCTCCACTGTTATCACAGTACACGGTGATACCACGTGGCAAACTCGGAATCACTTCTAAGTCCACTAAAAAGTTTCTGAGCCAAACTGCCTCTTTCGCTGCCTCTGAGGCTGCTATGTACTCGGCTTCCATGGTGGAGTCCGCCACGTATTTCTGCTTAGCACTCCTCCATGAAATGGCTCCACCTCCCAAGGTAAACACATAACCAGAGGTTGACTTACTCTTGTCCCTATCTCCACGTATTTCTGCTTAGCACTCCTCCATGAAATGGCTCCACCTCCCAAGGTAAACACATAACCAGAGGTTGACTTACTCTTGTCCCTATCTGACTGGAAAAATGAATCACTATAACCCAGAGGTAGCAAGCTGTCTGCACGGTAAACTAACATGTACTCTTTAGTCTTTCTCAAGTACTTGAGTATATGCTTCACCGCAGACCAATGTTCCCTACCCGGATTACTTTGATATCTGGCTACTAAGCCAACGACGTAGCTGATATCTGGCCTGGTACAAAGCATAGCATACATAAGACTTCCTACTGCCGATGCATAAGGAAGTGTCTTCATGTCCTCAATCTCTTGAGGCGTCTTAGAAGACATCTCCTTAGAGAGAGGGATTCCTTTCCTGAAAGGCAAGGTACCTTTCTTGGAATCCTGCATGCTGAACCTAGCTAAGACAGTATCTATGTATGATGACTGGGATAAGCACAACATTCTCTTCTTACGGTCTCGTACTACCCTAATACCAAGAATGTGTCCTGCTTCTCCTAAGTCCTTCATATCAAACTGCTTAGACAACCACACCTTTACGGCTGACAACTCTTTCTTACTGTTTCCAATAAGAAGTATGTCATCCACGTACAGCACAAGAAAAAACCGCCACGCTCCCACTGAT